GGAGAGAGAGAGAGAGAGAGAGAGAGAGAGAGAGAAAAAAAAAGAGAGAGAGAGAGAGAGAGAGAGAGAGAGAGAGAGAGAGAGAGAGCGAGGTCACCTGAGAGGTCTTGGTCTTGATGGGCTTCTGGCCGGAGCATGCAGCGCCTGCTCAGGCCGCCTGCGGCTGCGAGGACGGTGGCGCGCGGTGCTCCCAGTTGGGCAGCAGTTAGGGGGCCACGGGCGAACCCTGCCCCTGCCCCCCCACGATTTCTGGGGGGGAGGGCGGGGTTCACGTCGCGCCTCGCCCCCAGCGTAGAGAGAGAGGTTTTGGTCTTGATGGGCTTCTGGCCGGAGCATGCAGTGCCTGCTCGGGCCGCCTCCGGCTGCGAGGGCGGCGGCGCGCGGTGCTCCCAGTTGGGCAGCAGTTAGGGGGCCACAGGCGAACCCTGCCCCTGCCCCCCACGATTTCTGAGGGGGGGGGCGGTGTTCACGTCGCGCCTCGCCCCCAGCGGAAAGAGAGAGAGGTCTTGGTCTTGATGGGCTTCTGGCCGGAGCATGCAGCGCCTGCTCGGGCCGCCTCCGGCTGCGAGGGCGGTGGCGCGCGGTGCTCCCAGTTGGGCAGCAGTTAGGGGGCCACAGGCGAACCCTGCCCCTGCCCCCCACGATTTCTGAGGGGGAGGGCGGGGTTCACGTCGCGCCTCGCCCCCAGCCCCCAGCGGAGAGAGAGAGAGAGAGAGAGAGATGAGAGAAAGAGAGAGAGAGAACGAGAGAGAGAGGAGAGAGAGAGAGAGAGAGAGAAGGAGAGAGAGAGAGAGACCGGACAAGTAGGCGGACCAGGGTCCGTCCGCGAGGCGCACTGCGGTGCGACAACTCGCAAAACACTATTTGCGGCGGTGCAGCCTTAAGATACGAGGGCGGGCGACAGGCCCCCTCCCCCGGCGCAATGCGTCTGAAGTAAAAGACGGCGGACAGACCGTGAAGATCTCACCTGTCAGACCGCGTGAAGAAGAAGGCCCCAACGCAAGTGGCGACGTGAAGAACGTGGCTAAGGCGGCTTGGCGGACCGCCGGTTGGGCGCTTGGCCGCTGCGCGGCGCGCAGAGACGGGGCGCCCCCCGCCCCCGCGCCCAGGCCCCGTGGACGCGGTGCCTCGCGGGCGCACGGGCTGGCGAAAAGAGAAAAGGTGCACCAGCTGGGAGCCGTATGGCCCAGCACAGTGCGCACAGGCCGAGAACCCCAACAGGAGCGGCAAAGCTAGCCGACAGCACAGCGGCACCAGCCGCTGCCAGCTAACCTTTAGCCCCCATTGGCGGACCTCGAAAGCGACAGAGTCCGCGGCCAGGCGGCGGACGGCAGAGGGGCGCCAGACGCGCTGAGGAAAAGGTGCACATGCTGGGAGCCGAATGGCCCAGCATGCGCACAGGCAGGGACAGTGCAAAGGTGCAGAGGAGGCCCTCACGGCGGATGCGCCCGCTACGACATGGCGGGCATGACATGGCGTGAAAGCACGGGTGCGTGGGGCGGGGCTGAAGCCGCCACCCCCGCCAGCAGGCACGGCTCACCAGGGAACAGCGCCCGAGTGAGCAAGGCAAGGCGAGGGCGAGGCCGTGCCACGCTGGCCAGGATGAGGGCAAAGTGAATGAGAAGCCCCAGCGTTCTTCAAAAGCGTCGGACCACGTAAGAAACTGAAGAAGGAAAACAGTATCAGTGCGCAGACGCTTGAGAGTGGCGCGGTGGATGAGGCCTGCTGTGCGGCCGTGCGGGAGGCCGAGGGCCGCGTCCACGCAGGTTAGGAGCATGTCCGAACTGCGGGCCAGAGTCGGGCGGGGGCCAGGAGCTCTCAGACTCCATAGGCGGAGCTCGATGCATCGGTGGGCAGTCGGCTGCGCGTCGGCCTTTCTCGGTCCGTCGTACTGTGGTCCAGCTTCGCGGAACCAGTGGGTGTGCCTAGCGGGGCGGCGGTCGGGGACCGCCACAAGAGGCGGCAGGTACGCGGCCAACACCCATGACAAGAGGATCCGCTTGGCCCGGCGGAGCGCAGGAGCCGGAGCATCCTGGTAGGGTGGCTCCTCCTGGGCCTGCGCGGCGTCCCCGCCGCCCCCCTCGGCGGCTGCTGCGGCCTTGCGTTTGGCCCTCAGCCTCCTCAGCCTCCTCCTGTCGGAGCGCTCCTCAGCCTCCAGTCGTTGGAGCAGGTCCTGCTCCTTCAGGTGCGACAGCATCTCCGCGACCTCTCGCAGCGTGTCCGCACCCTGGAAATTGCGGCCGCTAGGGTCGGCGTCCTGCCTCCCAGCGGCGACGCTGCTGCTCACGGGCTTCGCCGCAGAGGGGCCGGCCGTAGGGGGGCCGTAGCTGGGGCCGTCGGCTGTGTACCCGATCGGGCCCCAGAAGCCCACGGGCGCTTGCACCCCGAGGTCGTGGTGGAGGTAGTGGTCGTCGGCGCCGTCGTCGCGTGAGTCTCGGAGTCCGACTTCACAGTCAGCTGTGCGTTGAGTCTGGGCGCGGCTGCCTGGTGGGACGGTCAGCGCAGGTGGCCTGCAGGGTACTGCTGCCGTGGCGTCAGGGCGCTGTGCTGCTGAGGTACGGTGGCGTGGGTCCACTGCTGGGCCGGGCTGGGGCCCCTGAGTTTGGGCCTTGGTCTGAGCGCCCGTGCTGGGGGGCGGCATCTCGGCGCGGAGCGCAGGTGCAGGGACGGTCAGACTGGAGCAGCTCAGGTGGGCGGTGTCCCCAGACGACAGCGTGACGGTCCAGTGGCCGGGGTGCTCGCTGGACTGCCCCCGTACGATACCTCGGAGGCCGTTGATGGGGTTGTGGACTTGACCCTGGACGATGACCGCTGTGCCCGCGTGGAGCCGTGGTGGGATCCAAGCGGCCAAACGGCAGTTTACGGCTCGGAGGTGACCGATGGTGGCTGGTTGCGGTCCGAGGAAGCGCTCGAAGTGCTCCCGTACAGTCACAGTGCTAGTGCTGGCAGTGCTGGTGCTAACACGCGAGGTTGCGAGGGAGCCAGGACCCAGGGCAGGCGTGTGAGCATGCGAGACGGCCGAGGCTGGCCCCGCTGCCGTGCTACCAGGTTGTGGCGGGGAGGTCACCCCAGGGCTCGAGGCAGCGTGGGGACCGATGACAGGAATGGCAGGCGTGGTGCCATGCGGGGGGGCTGAAGCCGCCCCCGCTGGCGTGCTACCAGGTTTTGGCGGGGGGGTCGACTCGAGGCTTGAGGCAGTGTGAGGGCCGATGACAGGAATGGCAGGCGAGGTGCCATGCGGGGGGGCTGAAGCCGCCCCCGCTGGCGTGCTACCAGGTTTTGGCAGGGAGGTCGGCTCGAGGCTCGAGGCAGTGTGGGGGCTGATGCCAGGGCGGCCCTGGGCGGCCGTCTGGTGGCCTAGAGGGCGTCTGCGGTCGACGTCGCCCCCGCGCTGTCGGCGTCGCCGCCGCGCTGTAGCTGCGCTCCGTCGCCGCCACTCGTCGCGGAA